TTTTTCAAACATTTTTATTTGTTCTTCTTCACTTAAATCTTCCTCGGTAGAGCTATAATTGAATTTATTGTCTCCCATATGTTCATCTGTTGCGTTGTCTTCGTATTCATAATTTTCCTCGACGGTTGCTTGGCTTCTGTCTATCTTGTCATTTTCATTTTCAATATCTTCATGACGTTCTTCAGCTTTGTGAAAACGAGACCAGCTAGAATTCAAAAATTCATAGGCTTTGCAAATAACAGAAAAACGAAATCTTACTGAGCTTGAAGACTTCGAAGAGTACTAAAAGAACCTCCACATGTACAAATGAGCTTAATGTGTTTATTATGGCTATGCAGATCACGTTGATGCTTTACATAAGCCGATAAAGTCTTGAAATCGATTTTGCAAATGTAGCAATGCATATTTTATCTAAAAAGCATGATTACTTTTTTCTCTATAGATGAAAATTATTTTCGAATATCATGATTGGAAGACAATCATCATTGGCAATGATTATGAAACGATTATTAAGAAAATTCGACTTTTATTTCCTGATGAAAATGATTCCACAGTTTTATTCTATGATCATGAACTGAGTGATTTTTTCGATTTCACATCTTTTGATCAAATACAAGTTCAACCTAACGGTGTGAAGATGACTTTTAATTCTTTCAAAAAATTAAACGATGTTGCTGCTGATGCTTCTTCACCTTCAAGTGTAAACAATGTCGAAAAACAAAAAGAAAAGAATTACGTTAAAAAACTTCATCCACAACGAAATCGAAAGAAAAAAGAAAATGAACACGATGTAAGTCTTTGTTTTTTTTAGACTAATTTTGTATTATTTTTTTTTCTTTTTTAGAGTCAAATCGATGAACCAATCGTATTACCAACATATTGTGATTTAATTCTACAAGGATTACAATCACGCGGTTAGAAAAATGAATTCTTCGATCACAATTGTTCTTTTATATTTTAGAGTCTTTTCCTTCAATTCAAAAAGTTTTTTTGGATCAAACAGCAACACATTTTCTCCGAAAATACTCAATCGTATCATTGAAATCTCTTCATTATTCTTTTGTTTTAGCACTTGCTGGAAAATTTCCAATATTAAATTATTTAAATAAAGATGTCGATGGTAGGATGGGTTGAGCACCACAAGTAAGTTTTTTCCACATTTGTATATATGTGGCGAATTGAAAATTTGTGTATAAAAACAATATTTCTATATTTGTAGCATACAATCTCACAAATGCTGTCTCGAAAAAAAATAAATATGAAGTATTATAAAAATCATCCACCACCAAAACGTTCAAAATTATCAACAATCGAACCAAATACAAATGTTGAAGCATGTGAGCAATTGGTAATCGAAAGACCACAAACTGAAGAATGTGAAAATGAAACAGTAATTATTTCTTGTGATAAAAGTAAGTTTTTGTCAGGTTATTTTGATATAAACCGCAGGACCATTAGTATCACCATCTAATATAATTCGTGAGTTACCTCAGCTACAATCAACAAATACATTATTGTAAACAATTTAATTCAATATTTTTTTATTAAGAATAATCATCTACACCAGCAACAACAATAACAACATCCAATGAATCATCAATAAGTCCAAATA